CTCTCTCTCTCTCTCTCTCTCTCTCTCTCTCTCTCTCTCTCTCTCTCTCTCACTCTCTCATGTTCCTAAGAAGAAAAGCAGATTCCTGACCATAATTTGTCAGCATCTAAGGTTTGGTTTGTTTTCATAACAGGACTAGACTCTAGACCCACTTTGGTTTTAAGCAGCAGCATAGGAAAAAGGGTAGATGGGTGGCTTCCTAACTTTGTGTAGCAGTGAAAGACCTCCTTTCAAGGCAATATTCACAGGAGCAAATATGTAAAAGCAGGCAGGGCTGGCTGCCCAAAGCAGGGCTGCCCCGTGCCCCCCACCCCTCCACAGCAGCTCAGAGGAAATCTTAGGGTTGGAGTATCATAGTTTGACCATCACTAGGGAAGGTTGTGTCTTATTTGACAGAAAAAAATATGTACCAAATTATTTGGGTTACTGAAAGAAGAAACATGCACTCATTTTATTAAAAGCATATTTGCTATTGTGTTTATAAAATGGCAATTAAACAACTTATCCCTCCTTTGCTTCTTACAAATTTGTTTTTGTTTTTTCTCCATTAACCTTGTTCATGCCTTATTCTCTTGAGGAGAAGAAGCTTCTGCCAGAGCCCTCGCTGCACTCGATTAAACAATCCATTCACTCTTCCACTGTCCGCTTTAAACAGCAACTCTTTGAGAGCAGACGCTCTGCTTTATTCATTCTCTCCTTCCTCTTCAGTCTGAGCGGAGTGCTTGGTACATAGTAGGTGCTCAGTAACTGAACTCCCAAGGGGTCTGAGTCTCAAGATATGCAGCCACTTCAGTGAGCCAGACTCAGTGCACATCTTCCATGAATGATCCACACAGACTTGTAATGTGAAGTGGCTTTACCCTGCCCTCTCCTCCGCTGCTCCCTGCTTCCCCTGCCCAGCCATCAGAGAATATTGGCTCAGAGAATATTAGTTAATTTTAATATTAGCCTAAGAAAGATTAATTAGGAAGGCAAATTTGCTCTAAAAGGTGTAATTAATTCCAGAGCCAAATAGAAGAACGTTATGGATTATCTGCATTGCTGCTGCCTTCAAGTAGTGTACATAATCAAGGGCTGACTAGACGAGGACAGAATAATTTTTTAAGCGTCAGTGCTGTGTAGACCAACCGTCGTATGGTTCCTTATGTAAGCAGGCTCTTGGCTGAGATGAGAGATTGAGATCGAGGCGGGGCCTACGTAAGTTAAGAGGAACCATCCAATCAGATGCCCTGGTTTGGCTATTCCAGCTCCTAAAATCACTCATGAATCGTGGCTTCCTCGCCGGCCTTCCTCCAAAGCGGTCTCATCCAAGTCGGAATTGAGTCTTTTCTGGACTATTGTAATAATACCCCCAAGTTGACTTCAGACTGTCTTACCAACTCATCTCCACTCAAAATCGAACCTAAATAGTTTCAAATTCAAAAACACATAATCCTCCACGCAGGGTCAAACATAAATTTAATCATGCCATATCCCACTTACCAACTTCCAAACGTGCCTCGAGGTGAAATGTTAACTCTCCTCGGTGTGGCCCACAAGATTCTTCACAAATTGATCCCAACCTACCCACCTGGCTCATTTCCCTTCTCGCTCACCACTCTCCTCGATTGCTGTCCCTTGTCCCCTGTAATAGGGCCAACTATTGCCCATTCTGGAACTCTCAGCCTAAATGAAACTTTCAAATCTTGGAGGCTTCCAATTTTGGGCTCCTATAGAAAGATCTGTGTTAACCGCTTATCTTATTTTTGTGTGTGTTTGTTTTCTTTTCTCTTTAAAAAGACAATGAGCTCCTTAAAAGGCCAAGCATAATGTCTGCCCCATTGGAGATCAATGCCAACTGGAGCAGCTCATTGAAACCAAAACTTCCTCTTTTTCCCCCCAGTCAATAGTCAATGCAGCTTGCAATGTCTGGGAACATTCCTCAGTTTTCCACCTCCTTTTGCCTGCCTAGCTGAGGCTCAGAGGCAGTTGGCTTCAGGAGGAAAGTCGCAGGAGAACTGCAAGTGATGCAGACTTCAGCCTGACAGCTGCTGATCTTTACTTTAGCTGATTTCCCCCTTTGCAAATGGTTCATTGGCAATTGAAACTGCAAATCTACTTTCTGCTCCCCTATGTAAATTGCATTTACATTTAAATTGTGCATTCTTCCAAAGGATAGGATTAGTAAATAACGGCAGATTAAACTTAAGGAGAGGAAATTGTGCCCCATGCCAAACCTGAGACTGAAGTGACATCTGGCTTTTACTATTTCCGTTATTTCAGTTTAATAACAGCATGTGGCATTATGAGAAAAGAAATTGGATCTACATTTTAATGAAAGGAGGAAACGCTCAGGGTTTAGATACCTTATCATGTTGAATACCTAGTCGATTGGCAATTAAAACTTGTTTCTCTCAAGAAATGGAATAAAATATCTTTGCAGTCATGGAGGGAATAAAAAACAAAAAACAAGCCAATGCCCAAGACTTCACAGATAAAACCAGAGGAAATGGGTGAGTGCCATAAACATCAAAACCAAATATTTCGGGATACCACAGAGTACAGGCATTCTTAAACAGAATAATGCCGAGAATAGAATCGTGGATATACTGGTGGGATCTTCAAGAGAATAACCTCAGGTAGAATAGTTGGCACATAATAATAGGGGGCTCGACCCAATCGGATCATCTGATTAAACTCCTTGTCAACCTAACGTTTTGAATCCCAGAGGTCTGATCAAGAAAATATTTTAGAAATGTCTGTTTCATCCCAATAGTTTTTAACTGCTCAAATGGAAGCGGTTCCACCTGCTGTTTTTTTTTTTTTTTTTTTTTTTGTGGAAAGCAATTCTGGGAAATGTAAACAAAATATTTGTGCATCCTAATAACCCAAGCCTATCATTTATTTGCTTTGATTGAAACAAATGTGTCAATTTTCAAAGTCTTTTGTCTGGTGCATCCAATGTTTGGATGTAGGCAAATGTGTGTTATTACATGTTTGTTTAGAAACTGATGCTCTATTCAGAAACTCTGGAGCCATAGCCGTTGGAACCACAGCTTGGGATCACTCAGTGAGCCTCCCTGACCATGCGCTCAGAGGTGCTCAGTCCTTTCCCAGCATCTGGAAAGTGTTGAAATGAGAAGGTTTCATGGCAAGTGTAAATAGGGTGGAGCCTCCTGAAGAAAAGATGTGGAAATCCTCTGAGGATAGGGCTCATGAATAATTAGAATAAAGAAAAACATTTATATAATGCTCACTGTGTATTATAACTCACTGAATGTTCATAACAGCCCTGTGAGGTAGGTATCATTGTCATCCCCATTACAGATGAAGAAAAGGAGACACAGTAACGTTAGTAATCTTCCCTACCCGACACCACCCAGTTGGTAAGAGGCAGAGCTGGATTTGACTCCAAGCAGGCTGGCTCCACTGTCCCCTTAACCCCTTTCAGGTGACTCCCTCCTATCTCTGGTATTTAATTAAGGCATTGTGTTTTCCCAAAGTTACATTTTGTCTTGCATAATTGCTTTAGCATAATTTGCCTTGCGTAATTGTCTCAGCAGTTTCTTTTGAAAGACGCAAGCTAATAGTCTAAGGGATCTTTCCTGAAACAAGGTAAAGCAACAGCAACAAAACTGGCCTCCTGCAATATAGATGATAGTATCTGCCCCAGAAGTCTTATAGGAATGTGCAGATGAATGAGATGATAGGAAAAGTGCTTTGAAAAGGCCCAAACCATCAAAATTCTGCAATGTATTATTATTTACCTGTGCTCTTCTCTGATTCTTATTTTTAAACGAGCAAATCCTTAACAAGTTAATGCAGGTTTCTTCCACTTTCTCATTTTCCCTAGAGGGTATGGCCAAACTACCCACCTACTACTGTGGATCTTTTGATGACAGCCTAGACGCTTGTTTGTTTGATTTCTCCTTTATCTTCCCAGTTTCTTGGCACCATTTAGTTTGGTCGCAGCTCCTTCTCCTCACTTCCTGTGCATAATGGTAAGTTCTCTGCATCCCTCGTCATTTCATCATGGCAGTCAGCTTATGAAGTCGACCAGTGCCTCCCTCTGTTTGAACTTAAGTTAAATTAATCATCCAATTTTCGCATCAGTCTGTTGCTATGGGGGTTACTGATGTCACACTGTCAGTATTATGATTATCATAATATTTAACAGGCAAAAGGGATTGGTTGCTAGTGAGAACCCTTGGGTGAAACTCACTCAGCTTTAGTAACCAACTCAACTGCTTAGACTTTAGACAACCATGTAAAGGGGTAAGTGGATTAATCATACAGTTAGATTCCATTTGAATATTTTTCTTCCATATGTGTATTCCCTCCAGGCAATTGTCTAGTGTCACTTGAAATTGATGAAGGCTCTTTCAGAGGTTATTTTTGGGAAGGTGGTAAAACAACAGACAGCTGTTCTTGAGAAGAAATGTCACAGGATCTAAGCCAGCTTCCAGTTAAAAAAAAAAAAGAAATAGAAAGGAAGTGCATTGTCCTTTTCCTTCCTAACATTAGGTTGTTTACTAGTGACCTGAAAGGGTTAATTCAGCTTCCCAAACAAGTAGGAAAGAAGGAAACCATATGTTTACTAAGCACCTATTGTGCGTCAAAATGTGACTCTGGTCAAAATACAGCTTTAAAAGTGGAGAACTGTTAAGCTAGGCATTGTCAAACAACCCTATTATACATGACAATTCACAGCTTTTTCTAGCTTGTGTACAATGTTCTTCCTAATTGGACATTGACTGATCACCAGTAAAGGCAAAGTCATTACTTAAAATTGGTCCAGATCCTCCAATGCCGAGTAATTGTCTTGCCGTTGTTTTCACTACACTATTAAAAAGCCCAGAAACATGGTAGAAATGAGGTACAATAAATAACCCCTAAATTAAAAATCTCTGTTAAAACGTTTGACAAATGGCTCTGTCTTTGTCAGGATTTTGTTAAGTAGGTGGACGGGTCAGTTTCGGGGGGATAGAGGGATCAACTGAATAAAACTGATTGAACTTGAGGCTCTGCAGGTTTGGAAAGCCATGTCGAGATGCGTAAATCTATAAAAATCAATTTGCGTGCCAGAGAATGAACAGCTGACTTTTTTCAAATGCCAATTCAGCAATTACAAAGTCTGCTGGCGGTTAATTAAAAACTACTATCTCGTTAGGTTCAGAGTTAAATTACAAGTGTGAAAACTACTACTGTTTGCAATAACGGAATCCTCCATACTCTCTGTACTCTCATCAAAAGGAGGGCAGGGATAAATAACTCTTATTTAACTCACTAAAAATCTCTCAGCTCTTTCATATTTAATTAACTTCTTGTCTTCTCGGAACGTGATTCTTACTCAGAGCTCCTAAGCAATAATGGAAATATTTGTTCGTTTTGTGCAGAAGATATTTCTCATATTCGCTGAGTAGAAAAGTTAGAAATAATTGAACCCCAAGGACACTGGGGGAAGTGACACTCATCCAAAGCTTTGTATTAAGGCAACTAAACCTGGGAGAGATTTATGGCAGAAAACAGCATTTTGTGGTGGTTTTTGCTTTACCGCCTGTGCGCCTCCAAGATTGGGGAGATCGGGTCGTAAACACTTCTGTGGATGAGTAAAGTTTTAGTTCTTATTTGTAAGGCCATCTTAATGAATTTAATGTTTTACTATTTCAAAGATTCCACTATCAGAAAAGAGACCAAACCTCTATCACCATGGTGGACATGAAGTGTCTGAGTAACTCTGAATTACAGAATCGACTTGATGAGCTTGGATTTTCACCTGGCCCAATACTACGTATGTATGCTGCAAACATTAGAATAGGTCATTTATTACTTATAAACTACTCCAAAGACTTAAAATCATTTATAGGGGAATGAACATATGCAACGGAAATCATTAAAATAGAAATAGGAAAATTAAAAAAAAACTAGAAAACTATAAAAAGGAAAGAGGTGATAAATATACTCAGATCTTACAGATTAGGAAGTATGGTGCCAGACAGAAAGAAATCCTTTTTCTCTCATAGTGAAAAACCAGTTACCCTTGATTATATCACCTTGTTTTTTTTTTTATTATTATTGTTACTATTTCTAGTATAGGCGCTATGTTAACTATTTATGTATTTATTGTCCATATTCCCAACAGATAGGGTTATAACTTTGTCAGTCTTTTTCTCATTTGTATTCAGTGCCTGACTCCGTGGCTAACCCATAGAGTCCTCGCCTTGTTTATGGAAGGGAAGGAGTGAGTTGAGTAGCTGTGGGGTCCACCTCATTGTACAAACCACAATTAATGATATAAGGTACAAGAATAAAGATCTGAGTTGTAAAATACCTGAACCTACCAAGATCCCATACACAAACGGAATGACTTCATCTATTCTCCACATTCTTCCTCAGCTTCCACCAGAAAAACATACGAAAAAAAGTTAATGCAATTGTTGGTCTCACCTCCCTGTGCATCACCTGTGATGAATGGAACCAGAAAGCTGGACAGAGCTCAGGACTATGATGACAGTAAAGGTACCATCAGAAGCTATACTGTTTGATAGAAATTTTGTACTTATTAATACCTCGTCCAGCACGACTTATACAGCTTTAAATGGTACGCAGGGTGACCTATGAAATAGCCATATGGCCTGTTTGCACACAGAGCCTGGAAAACAGGCCCCTGGGCTGCAAAAGGAATGCTTAATTCCATGTTTATATTCATGCCAGTGATTCAACTGGGTGGAAAGTTGGGGGAAGAACTGGTTAATTTGCATGTGCTCTTACCAACCAGAGCCAAATCCGTGTTTGATTTCTAAAACCAGACGTTCCTACAGGTAATTTCCAGGTCTCCTTTGAGGTCTCAGCCTCTGCTTTGCCTCAACTGATAAATTTGACTGTTATTTTCTTTGAATTAAATGATTTTACATCCATTAAGAAAGATGAACCAGATTGTACTTCTCTGTGCCTACTGCTCCCCCGACTTAATGGGAGCTGATCACGGCGGGTCTCTCCCAGGTTCCAGGTGGGTAGGGAATGGTGGCCTCTGGGATCTGAGGGCTTCCTTTACAGTGGCCTCTTTCTGTGGCACACCATTCTCCTGTAAGGGTGTCTAGTTTGGGCTCTCAGGGGCTGGGCTTAAAGAGTCCCACAATATATTCCGAGGCTCTTTCATTCAATAAACATTTATTGAGAGTTCTCTATGAGGCACAGTAAAATAACAGGAAGTACCGTTTATTGAAAGCTGCCAATGTGTTTCCGACCTAACTTGCATTATCTCATTTAACTCTCATAACTCTTAGCTGAAGTTCAGATAGGCCAAGTGACAGACCCAACATCATATAGCTAGGAAGTGGCCTCAGAAGATAAGCATCCATTAGAATGTGCCATGAAGAGCTAGACCCATGTGTCTTTGTCACCACTACATTTCTGGCTCCTAAGACAGGACCAGGCCCATAAGAATTCAGTATGTGTTTGTTGAATGAAAGGGATATAGAACTGAGATTTGAACCCAGATTTGAACTCTCATAATTGTGCTCTTTCCACCACATGCCTTATACTTTTCTCACAATTTCTACTATAAGGATAAATACATTACATTTTTGACCATGTTCGAGCTACAAAAAAAGTGGCAATTTCATATAGTTCAAATTAATAGTTTAAGAAAGCAATGTAAGTGCCCGCGGCCCTATGACAAGTCCCCTGTAATGCCTGGTATCGAAGGTGGCACAGATGAGAGCTTTCCCCAAGAGTCTGGCTTGGCCAGCCTCATTAGAGAGGGCAGCAGGGTTTAGGGATGGACCCCACTGGCCCCTGAGCAGCACAGTTAGCATGGGGGTGCCTCAGAGATATGGGATGTGTTCAAGGTCCTATCCCAGACCCGACCGCCTCTGTTTCCTGCCCTAGAAAGGAGCTGAAGGGACTAGACCAGCTCTCTGATGAAATGCAGTGTCAGGCTTGAAAGGAAGGAAAGCTTGTGCACTCACGGCTTGTGACCGCCAAGCACTGCAGGTCAAAGCTGCAAAGTTAAGCTGTCATGGTCTCAGGCCAAGCCGCCCTGGTTCCCAGCACACACAGTGACACATTGACGCTGGGACTAGGAGAAAATTGGTCCTTTGGTTTGTAAGCTTTGCCATTGCTTTACACTTGTCCATCTAATGCTGGCCAACCATGGGCAGTCAAGTCAGAGGTGGAAGCTCTGGGTCAGTCCTGCCCTAGCAATGTAATTCTGCGACTTCAGTGGCCGGTGGTGGCACATAGGAAAGCCATTTCTCTAGGTCGGGTCTGAGTCAGACATTTGAGTTTGCTCACTGGAGGAGCCTCAGATCCTGGTGCCTTGAGAATGGAGAGCTTGACATGGAACTGGTGGGGTCCTGTGGAGATTCGGCCTTGAGCTTTTCACAGAAACACCTAGTCCTGGATGGGGCTGTGGTGGGAGGGGTGGGGTAGCTCTGGACCTGCGGCTGGGCATTAGGTCATCCAAACAATGGGTAGATTCGATTTTTTCTCATTTTCACTCATTGTTTTGATACTGGGAAGACATAGTGTTAGTGTTTTCAAATTTCTCAAATAATTCTACTTGCAGAACTCATTTAACGCCCCCCCCCCCATTAAAAGCTCTGCCGATGTGCAAGAGCGCATGATAGCCCCAAGTTTATCTAAATGCTTCCTCACAGGCTGAAGGCGAGGGCCGATCAACAACAGCCTTTTCTGCCCTGGCAGTTCCCCTGACTTTTAAAGCCTTTTAGCACAGGTCTGGCCTCCCCTCCCCTGGGCGATTCTTTGGATACAGAAGGAGAAAATTCTCCTGCCCTATCTTGACATTCAGAGATGCGCAAGGCTTACGGCCGGCTTGAAGGGGCAATGACTAGACTGCAAACAGCCGCCCAGAGCAGCGGGCAGCTTGGACTCTGCAATGTATTGCTCTTGGAGGCGTACAGATGTGACAGCCTCCCTGTTAGGAGCCCTCCCTGTGCTCCCCGGGGAAGGCCTGAGTGTGTTCCACAAAGGCCACTGCAGAAATGCTCTTTTACCGCAGAAGGGCAGAGTAAACTGTCTTCCCCTCACTAAAATCTTCCGCCCTACGATTGATAGAATTCACCTTGATACTTGGTGCTTTTTTTCTTGGCTAGCTCGTATGTTCTCATGGCCTATTTTCCTTTTGTTTCCCATGATCCAGAACTTAATGTCACTATCATTTTGAAAGGAAAAATACTCTCATCAGAAAAACACAAGAGACTCAAAAAAGTATGTACAATTCTAATGCATGAATACTTTTACACATATATTAGATAGAGGAAATAGCACTTTTCATAGGTATTAAGAAAGGAAATAGCAAGTCACTTCATTCCGTTACAGTGGGGAAATCCTAGTTTGAAGAAGCTTGTTCCAATGCAGTTCTGTTTTGTGAGACTATTACCCCAGAGTAAAAGGGTCCTCCTGCCCCTCCCTGAAGTAGCAGCCGCCCTCCTCTCCCCTCCAGCTGTCCTCCCCTCTCTCACCTTTCACCACGCGTGCTACATTCACACATAGCATTGAGCACAGTTCTAGACCCATAGGGAGCACGGAATAAACGTGAGTTCCTGTCCGCTTCTCTTCCCCGGACACTGAGATCTGGCTTCTACCCGCAGCATCATATTGGAGCGCTCCGCCAAGTGTGTGAGAGTGCAGGTTTTGGAGCGAAGCCTAGCTCATTTAAAGTCCCTGTGCTTCCACTAGCCGGTTGTGTGACTCTGGGGAAGTCACCTAACGGATGTGAACCTCCTCGCGCGCAGTTTAATAGCAGTACCTACCTCAGCCGGCGGGTGTGAAGTGAAAGGCAGGTGAAGCTCTTAGCACAGAACACGGCACGGTTCGTTCACAGAATGAACTCCAGACATCAGTGCTAGTAACTTTTTCTCAGTCTCCTGACCTTGGTCCCTCTTTATTCAGAGACGCTTGCTTCCTTAGATTTCAGCGACTCGGTCCTCTCTCTGCTCCTCTGACTGTTTCCATTCTCACTATCTTTTGGGCCTTAAAGGTACCTCGTGCCAGATATCTCTGTCTCCAGCTCTCTTCTCTTGCTCTGCACCATCGCCCTCAGCTGTCTCATTCACTCACCCCCTCTGTAGTGAGTCCGCGTCTAACCTTCCACCCAGGACCTCCCTCCTGAGCCACAGGTCCTGCATATCCACTAATTCCTGGAAAGCTCCTTCCCTCCTTCCTGCATTCAAATAACAAATGGTTATTTGTAATGATGAACATTTCATAGGTTATACAGATGTATTCATAGTTTTCCCAGAGTTATCCCCAGCACCTCGCACTCAGGATATCCAGGACCACCCACCTGCACTTGTGGCCTCTGTTTATCTCGATGGTTCCGCCGCCTTCCCACTGTCCAGGCTCACAGCTCCTCACATATAAATAATCGCCAAATCCTATGGATTCGATTTGTGATTTAAAATAATCTACCCTCCCTTTCTCTTCCCACTGCTGCTATCCCAGCTCGCACCCATATTAGTTTTTGTTTGTCTGTTTGTTTTTAAATTACAATTGCGATACTTTCCTAACTGGTCTCTGCCTCCAACTTTTACCAATTCCTGTTCGACTCTGCAAGCAGAGATTCAATCATGTCATTCATTTGCCTGGAAACTTTTCAAATTAAGATGCAAACTTACCACACACCACGAAGAGACTTCAGTCTCTCCTGTAAACTTATCTCCCTCACCATCCAACCCAACCGACACCTACCCCGTCTCTCCACCTCTCACACCTCTTCCCATGCACCGTGGCCTCAACCGTTCTTTTTTCATTCTTTCCCCCTCCGCTCCATTTTTCTTCCTGTTAAAATCCTGTGATCACTTAAGGAATGTCTCAAAGGCCACTCCTGTGCATCCTTTTACAATTGCATTTTAGTACCTTCAGTAGCCTCCACAGTGTTTTGCACATAGTAGGAGCCCCAAAATCAGTTCCTCACGTCTACCAAACATTTCCAGTGACACATAGGTTAGTTTGCAAATACGGTCTCATATTTAAACTACTTGCTGTGTTTAAATAAATGAAATGAAACCCCAGGCAAACATTCCTGCAGTAAGCTATAACTTTAGCTTCCTATCTAAACATAATTTAAATTTGATGAAGTAATTCGGAGATCAAATTTTCTAAAAAGATTTAAAAAATCTTTTAAATGGCTCATGAAAGGAATCCTTTCCATCCGGTAAATTTTGTTCCCTTCTGTATAGCTCCTTCAGACATTCACAGGAGAAAAACGCGACCTGAGTATTTAAAATGCATTAGGAGGGGCTAATGCTCTTCAGACTTTGCTTTAGGTAAACCTGAAATAAAACAACATCGATATTTTGAACTGGCAATAGAATTAAATAGAAAGTTTGCGATGGCATAAAATGTTTTGATCTGAGGATTTATATAAGCCATTTTGATTCTCAGAAGGGCCTCAAGACATCTGTTCAACTTTAAATCCGAAAGTAAATGTAAATAAGCATTTAAATTTCCATGTAAAAGGTAGTAGAAAGTGTGTTCATTGAGACACTTGTCTAACACCATAGATTTTAATTACTTGAGAGCAGTGGTCTGTACCTAACAGTCCTCTAAGCACTCAGAAAGGGAGTATTTGCATTTCTTTGAAATACCAATAAACACCTATTTTCCTCTCATTTTAGTAGGTTTCTAGTTGAATACAAACCAATTTGACATTTAGATTAAGTCAATTTCTGGACACTTTTTAGCACTGTATGTGTGTGTTTTATCAAATTACATATGCAGCCCATTTGATATGGTGATTAAGACCACTTAGAAAGCAAGGTCAATATTTTTTTAATTGAGGATTTTCTCATCCAGTAGACTCTAGACACAGCTTAAGCTTCCATCGATGGAGTAGGGAGTGAAGCCAATGTATATAACTCGGGCTCTAAATCTTCTTCTACCAAAGAGGAGAAATGGGATGTGAGGATGGCAGGGAGGCGGAACACGAAGTCAGGCTGCATGAAGTAGGATAGGGTTCAATAGGGCAGCCGTGTAATTTATCACTCCGAACAGGATGCTATTGAGAATAAAAGGGGACACTGACCAGAAGGGTTGCTGGAATAATAGGAGTGAAGCAGGACTGTCCTGACAGATCAGGGCATATGGTCACCCTGGGCTCGGGACTGGTTCCAAAGGCTGACGTGTTTGTATGTGCACACCTGTCTGCGGAAAACGGTCGCATCCAATGTCCCGAGGGCGCTGGCCCCGAAGGCGTGCTCCTCAGAGCCCCTGGCCCCATCTAGGTGTTTCCTTATTCGCCCCCACACACGTTATGCTCTTTCCTGCCAGAATCTCTGTTCGTTCTGTTCTCCCAGCCTCGAATGCTCTGTCCTCATCTGGTCACATTCTCCTAGGAATGTCTCAAAATGTGTCCTGTGGCTCTGGCCCTAGGAATTTGCATTTTCCATTAGCCGCTACTCCCACCTTCTCCCTAAGAGTTTTTGCTCTAGGTTGTAAAATTTTTGAACTTATATTTTTAAACCCTGTGTATTTAATTCAATGTCAGGCATATGGGGGGAGGGGAGTCACTCAGTCTCTGTTGGCTGAACTGAAAGGAGCCTTTGTGCTATGTTGATGTCGATGAGCTCTCTCTTTCTACCTTCCTATTCTGTACCATCGCTTCTGTCTCTTAGACATACCTTAGTGTATTCTTTTGAGAGACGATGCTTAGGTCATAGTGAATTAATGACCATCCAGGAAAGGGTTGCAAGAGAGCTTCTAGCCCTGGGTCTCAGCCTGGGAGTTAACAACTATTTACTGAATACAGGGTCTTGTGCTAGACCTTCTCGTTCCTGTCCTGAAGAAACTTACAAAATAAGCTCTGGAAACACAGAATATGTATATCAAAAATAAAGAACCTAGAGCTGGACTGCCTGGGTTCAAATCCCAGCTTTGCCACTAAGTTAGACAAGACACTTGACCTCTCTATGTTTTAGCTCTTTGTCTATAAATAAGGATAATAGTAGACTCAACTTCATAGAGTTTTGCAGGGATTTAGTTAAAGTATATAAAACAGAGTAGTGATGGCACATAATAAGAGCTGTCTAAGTACAAATAAGAACTATTATTATCATTAATGTTATTATTATATAAAAATATGATATTTAATTATCTGCAATATAAAGCAATATACTTAAGTGAAAAGTAATATAATGGAAGCTGAATCTTTAGTATTGAACTCCTAAGTGCTACGGAATGTAATTTATCAGAGTGCCTACAAATATATTTATATAATTAAATATATAGGTATAATTAAAGATTGTTCTCTGTAAGTGCTGTGTGTTTAACAAAGCAGACCAAGCTTTTTTAAAAAAGTGCCCTCCCTACATAGGACTCCTTTCTTAATCTGATGCTTAAATTCTTCCCCTGCTTCTTTAAACGTTAAAAATAATTTCACACTTAGAAAAAGATACAAGAATAATATAAAGAATTCTCATATCCTTTTTACTCAGATTGTTTAATTGTTACCTTTTACTACATTTGCTCTGTGTGTGTGTGTGTGTGTGTGTGTGTGTGTGTGTGTGTGTGTACACTATCATTGTGTTTTTCCAAATGGTTTGAGACTCGAAGCCTCTCAGCTCTCTGGCATG